TGTGTGTGTGTGTGTGTGTGTGTGTGTGTGTGTTCAATAATAAATTATTATTACGATTGCAAAAATACAAAACCATATCTTGCATGCTTTTGTGATATCTGCATTTTTTAGGAAAGGCAAATCAAGTTCCGTGATTTGTATTTCCTTTCTTCGCGCCTACGAATCTCGTGTTCGCACGCAGGCGCACCGTTCTAGCTGTGAGAGTGTTTGAAGAATTAATCAACATGTTTTCCCCGTTCTCTGCCTCCTCAGACCGACTCTCTACCTCCTACAACCCGGGTGACGACAAGTTGCTAGCTTCCTCCAAAAAGATCTTCAGATCCTGCCTGTTCCGCTCTAACCAAATCGACGAACGTACCCGGAACGTGGGTGAGTAGGCGCTCAAGACTGGAGTAGCGGCCCTTGAAAGTCGGCAATCTTCCCGCGGTTGTCTGTCTTGGCCCTTTTGCCTCTTGGGGTGGCGTTTTGCGGGATGCTTTTTGTTGGGATTTAGCTATTGTCGTATCCAGTTGGAAATGTCATTTTTGTTGTCACTGTTGTTTTTATTTGTTGTCGTTTTGTGTTGTTTTTGTCGTTGTCGTTTTGTGTTGTTTTTGTCGTTGTCGTTTTGTGTTGTTTTTGTCGTTGTCGTTTTTGTAATGTATTATTCTTGTTCTTCTTTGCAAATGACTTTGTTGTTGTAACAGTTTTTGCTTTTATCGGTTTTATGAGTGTGTGTGTGACGAGCGTATGTTTGTTTGTTACTTTGTTTTTGAAAGTGAGTTTCAAAACCACCGGACGGATACGGGATTTTTTTATAATTTAAATGAAACATTTGGATGTCCCAATAAAGTACATTCGACGTGAATTACATGCAGTGGTTTATATGTTTTAAAAAGAACATGAAAACATAAAAGTAAAAAAGGAGAAACCTCTACATACTCCAGGGAGCCTAAAGTTGCTTTTCCAATGTACTCTCTCTCTCTCTCTCTCTCTCTCTCTCTCTCTCTCTCTCTCTCTCTCTCTTTCTCCCCCTCTCTCTCTAAACGCAAATCTTCTCAATCTATCCCCCCCTCTCATTCACACTAATACATACGTAGTTTCTCTTCTCTTCTTTATTTCCTTCTCTTTTTCTATTCATCTACATATTATTATAATCCATCCGTCTTTAAAGCTACAGCCATCCATCCATCTACCTGTCTCTCTCCCTTCCTTCCTTTCTTCTCATACACTTGACAAGAGCTAGCTAACTGAGCCAGACTGTCCCCCCCCCT